AACGGTCCTGGCTTATTTAAATTGGATATAAGTCATATAGTGCATAAAAGGCCCCAGAAGAATCAGAGCTCTATTGTGCTAGCTGGTGTACAAACACAGAGAAACAAACAATCCCTATCCTGTTTCCCCCTCCCACCTCTTTCCTCCCCCCATGTGCCCCCCCTAGATTGTCCTTAGGACATTAGCCCTGAGTGAGGGGCAACATGTAGCTACACTGCCTCAGGAACACCCCAGGGAAGGAACTGTATCTCTGAGGCCATGTCCAGACTGAGATCGCTGGGTGTCCCAGCAGCTTGGGGTCCCAGAACTGTGACACTGCAGTGCAGGCTAGGGCTGTGAGTAATTCCCAGGTTTGTCCAGCCTGTGCCGAGGCTTTTGCTGCCACAGCTTTGCCGTTTTGGGATGCGAGCAAGCTAGATTAGAGCTGTTTGTGGCCGTGTCTAAGAGCCTCTAACATTATGGCGATGAAGCCATATAAGTACCTAGGGAGATGGATAGAGAAATTGTTCCTGCTTCCACAGCCCCACTGCAACATTAGCAGCTTTGAATGCACTTAGATATTTTCCCAGAAAACAATACACCAGTTCCTTAGCCTGGTGTCTCCTAGGCAAAAAGCAGGCATTAGCCTGCCTAATTGTACACACTGTACTGTACCACAGAGCTCTCTCTCCCCACCCCCACCCCCATCAGTTCCAGGCTGTTCACAGGACACGTTTCAGCCCAGCACTAAACATCACTTTCCAGCTAAAGGTTAATTACTCAGGGGGACATTTTCATCCAAGCTGCTGCCCGCAGGTTGCAATCCCTGCCTGAGCTCTATTTTTAGCCCCGCTCCTTCCTTGCTATTGATCCTAGTCACCCTCTGTTAATTAGATACACACAACACATACAGCATTTGCAACTCATTTTTCAATTCAGTTCAGCACCTCCCTCCCCTGAGATGTAATTTAGAGCCCTCCTTGATTCATGCTATTGATCTTCCCAGCAACTTTGCTGTAGGATTCTCTGTGTTGCAAGCTATTTATAGATCCCCCCCCTTCCCCAGGAGAATCAGAAATGGGCAACCTTAATCAGACTGCTCAGTTTCAAACAAGCCGGGGGGCAAGCAACTCTTTCTTCAGTCTCTGTCGCTAGACGCTATAGCTCACGTCTGTCATCTGTGAGTCCTTACTGACATATATGTCATTGTTATGGATTTGGACGTGGGTAAGCTATTTAGCTGCTGTGACAAAGATATTACCTTAATGAAATATTACTCTGCTCTGTAAACTAATCCCACAGCATATTCAGTTACAAGAATAATTGGCCAAGGTTGTCAAAAGTGACTCTGTGATTTTTGGTGTCTCACTTTTTGAGACATCTTAAAAGGGCCTGATTTTCAGAGGATGGGTGCTGAACACATTTTTCAAATTTGAGCATCCAAAATCACTAGTCACTTTTGAAAATCTTGGCCATCATCCATTGAGCCTCGTAAGGTCCTAGTTGCTGTGGAAGCACTGAGGAAGACAAAGTCTTGGAAACATAGGCTGGGACTCTGAACCGAGCCTGCAGGAGTTTGGTGCCCAGCTCTCATTGGATTTCAATGAGACTTAGGCACCTAATTCTCTTACACTCTTTTGAAAATCCCAACCTTGCATCTGAAGGCCCAAATTCCAAAGTCTCCATTGAAATCAAGGGGAGTTTGACTTGAGTGAACACCTCAGGCTCTGGCCCTAAATCAGACCTACTAAAATACACCTGCCCCAGCCATGTAAAAATAGCAGGAGGAGGCCCTCTCAGGATTTTCAGAATGCCCCAAGCTTTTGGAAATCTCCTACTGAATTGCCTGTATCCAGAAACCTGGAACACTGTGAAGCCTCATTCCTGAATATCTGTGATGAGCATCATCACCTTGCCTTTAGTTAAATGAAAATCAATATTAAAAACATATAGCTCACTGCCCTGGTAGAGCTCCCTCTCTGTATCCCCTGCCCAACTCTGTCGTTGTGTATGGAACCTCGTCAGCCTTGCATAACTAGGGTGGTTGTTGTTATTGTTAGTTCGGATTAGGGTAGCACCTAGAGGATCCGATCCGGATCAAAGCTCCATTGTACTAGGGGCCGTGCAAACACAGTGTGTGAGAGAGTCCCCGTTCCTATCCTCTAAGGCGGGGGTTGTCCTAAATAAATTAGGCACTCGACTCCTAGTGATCAACTCAGCCCTTGCGCTTCTTTGAAAATCCCAACCTCAATCCGGGAGAGCGGCAGCAATGAAGTAGTGTTGTATGGGGCAGAAAGAGTTTGGTTTCCCTAGGGGTATACAGGGAGGCTGCAGCAAGGCCAAGAACTGCCTGAATCCCAGCCCATCCTGCTTTCTTCACAAGCCCACCCTGCCTCTCTGGCTAGCAGCTGGCACTGAGTGATGGCCCCAGAACCAACCTGCAACCTCCCCGCTCCTCCCAGCGCCTGGCAGAGCCCCCTTGGCCGTGGGCAGCCAAGCCCAGTCATGATTCATAATTGCTCTAATCGCCGCGCCCCTCATTGCTCCGGGGTCTATAATGGGCTTTGCTTTATTTAACCATAAACAGCTGTCTCCTCTGAGTCACCCTATTTACCGAAGGCGCTTATTTCACCCAGCGCGCCGCGTAATATTGCCAAAGCGCCTTGCGGCTCCGAGAGGGGCAGGGTCTGATGGGTGGGTGCCTGCCCGGCTCTGGGATTCCGCCGGCTGCCCTCTGCAATTACCGCGCAGGGAAAAAAACACTCCTGGTGGGTAATTTCTGCTTTGTTCCGCGCCCGGCTCCCCTGCTGCAGCGAGTAGCCCCGCGTTACACAGTGGCCCCCGAGGACTAGGTGGTGACACACCTGAGAAAAGTGGGGAGCCCAGCCGAGCCCATCCGGCGACAGCTAGCCAAGAAAAGCGGGGCTGCAGGCAGGGGAGGGGAAATGCGGTCTCAACACCTGCCATGCCCGCTTAGCAACACCTGCGGGGAGCAGAGAACTTCGCGGAGCGCGTTTTAAACTGGTTTCACTCCTGGCCCCAGCGCAGGGCAAAGATCTAAAGCGTCGTCTCCAGCCCGGGTCCCAGGATCCCTCCTCACACACAGCCCCTGGCTCAGCGGAGTCTGGAAGGGAAGCAAGACCTGGTCTCTTCCCCCCCCCTTCCCGCTGCTTCTGCCCCCCCACCCCCCGGCTGATGGACAGGCTGAAAGAGCGAAGGGAGCTCGCCTGGAAAACCTGCACCACGTGGTGCCTGGCTCCCAGCAAAACCCTGCTAGGCGGAGTATAGTAGGAGCCGGTTGGGAGTGGCCACAGCGGGGGAGGGGACCGAGCCGGCGGGAGCGAGTCGCATGCGATGGTGCAAGGCAGGAGACCTGCGGGGAGAGAGACCAGGGGAGCATCAGATCAGTGCAGCCTCTTGCAGGCAGGGTGGGCGCAGAGCGGGAGCATAAAAAGTGCCTCGGGAAGGAGCGGGTTAATAGGAAAAAACCCACCCCATCCCCAGCAGCTCACAAAAGCCACTGCAGGTTGGTTTGCCTGGGGACTGTTCACCCTGCCTGCTGGGAGGACGGGAGCGAGAGAGATGGCTTGGAGCAGCGGCTTGATTTCCCCCGAGATGCTGTCGAGTCCTTGGGAGGGGGCGGAGAATTGCTCTTTTTAAAAGGCATTGGTCCAAGCAACCCAACAGCCCCAAACAGGGCAGGAGCAATAGAAAGTGTCAGTTTGGGGGTCTGGCTGGGGGTGTGTGTGTGTGAGAGAGAGAGGAGGGCGGGGGGCGCGACCCTCCTGGCTCCTGTTGTATTTTCGGGGGATGGTTTCGGTGTCTTTTCCTGCCCGCCGCGACGCTTCACCTCCATGGGCCAGCCAGGTTGATGGGCTCGTGTCTGCTCCGAGCTAGAGCGAGATCCAGCCAGGTGGGCTGCTGATTTCATCCACCCTGGGAAACGCCTCTGCTTTCGGTGGCCTTCTCCGCGGCCCAAGGGACCCGCTGGGTCATGCCCGGCGCTGGGTGACTCGGATGGTTTAAAGGCGGGAAGGAAGCGGCACCCCCGAGTCGGTTTCCCCCCCCCCCCAGCGAGGACAGCCAGCTTTCTGGGTATGCTGCCGAAAACTCACAGGCTAACGTCTGAGACTGTCTCGTTCATAGTCGGGCTGGACTTCCAGATATTCTCCGCGAGCATCGGCTACCTCCAGCCCCCTGACTTCAGACTGGCTCTGTCGGCGGGGAGCGGCTGAGGGCAGAAGCCATAAAGCGCCCGGGGTTGAATTCTTTAGCTAGGAACAATTAATACAAAGTTGGTGTCCGCAATCCAAGCCGCCGGTGCCCGGTGAGGGGTAGGGGCGTGCTCCCTGCCCAGGGTATCGCTCCGATCCGCTTGGGGCAGAGGACCTGCACCCACAGACCACCCGCCTGGAGCCGGCCTCCCCGGCCCTGGAGCGTGGGTGCCTTGCACCAGCCTTCCCTTGAGGGCTCCTCCCCGCCCGCAACCAGTGGAGAGTGACAGTCCCGGGCAAGCCTCTGCCCCGCCTCCCCGGCACATCTGGCGTGCTCGCCGCTGCGGACACTCCAGCCTTTCCTCCCCCACCCTCTCCAGAAGCGACCCCACTTCCTCCTGGGCGGCAGCTCTCCCCACCCCGGGGCAGCCCGGCCCGAGGTAGCTCTGATGGAGATGCTGCTCCCTCTCCCCCTCCCTCCCCCTCTCTTCCTCCCCTCCCCCTCGCCAGTCTGAGAAGTGCTGAGTAAAGAAACTTGTAGGAGAAGCGGCAGACACCCAACCTCCCCTTGCACCGGGTCTGCCTTGCTGCTGGGTGGCTTCCCCGCCTGGCACCCCCACCCCTATCCCCGTGCCGCTCAGCTTCTCCTCGCCAGCCCTCGAGGACTGGTCCTCCCCCCCTTCCCAGGACAGTGGGGCTCGTCTCGCTCCCCCCC